ATATTTACATAACTATGTATATAATATAGTATCTCAGTTTACATTATTTAGTATAGTTTTAGGCACTTAAATTTACTTGGTGGGGAGTAGAAACCAAGCATGCAATTAAATAAGCTGCTTCAATAAATGTATTCCTAATTATTCAGTTTACTTTAAAAACAATATTTGATTAACAGAATGTAGGACTTAAACCACCCAGGACATAAACCACCCAATTGGAATATACCATTGTTAAAGTGGGTGGGCAAAAGGGTGAACAATGTTGGGTGGTCTTGCTTTTATCTAGCTTTACAATAGGAATTAATTTGCTATTGTACACTCCTATTATACGCCTTTAATTCATTCATTTCTTCTGACAACATGCATGTTGGTTAGTAATCATTGTAGATTTTAGTAATCACTGTGCTTAAAGTTTAATTTTTTTTAGTTTTCTAAATTTATTTTAATTTTTAAAATGACTTACATTAAAAATCACTTTCAATTAAATACTTCCCTTTAATAATAATAATAATTTTATTTTAGTATCACTGTGCTTGAAGTTTAATTGTTTTAATAGGTATATTTTAGTTTTCTAAAATTATTTTCTAAAATTATTGCACAATGGGTAAAAATAAGAATATAAATGACTAATTCTATAAAAAAGTATTTATCATACATGTATATGGTTTACAAATTGAATTCTTAATAATTATCATTAATTTACATTTACAGTATTTATATTATATAACTGATTTCATTATTAATCTTATATTCTCCAACAACCAAACTTTCCATTCCATTGTGAAATTTTGAGAAAAACATAATTTGTTAAACAACAGCTGAAATTAAACGTCAGTAAACTGCCAGAAATAGAACTATATAGGGGCATATATTTATATATGATTATATATGATTTAACAGTGTTAACGGCTATCCTGCTAGATAAAAGCAAGACCACCCAACATTGTTCACCCTGTTGCCCACCCACTTTAACAATGGTATATTCCAATTGGGTGGTTTATGTCCGTATACCGATTAACAAACACTTCTTTGAAGCCTGAGCAGAACATTTGTTGAAGTAAAGTTAGCCTCCCTTTTCCCATAAACTTGTCATTCAAACACACAATTGATCCACATGCTTTAACTACTGTTTATTTGCACTGTTTATCTATAACATGTAAAGTTATTTCATTTGATACTTAACAAAAGTGAATTTTGTGGTTATCTATGAGTTGCATATTTTGGTAGTTGGAAGTACTGTATGTACAGTACCGGCCAGTTTTATTGCAAAAATTCAACGCATTCAACCCGTTGCGTTTTCGTTGACAACGCGTTGGCGTTTTCGTTGGCGTTGTCGTTGAAACTGTTGACATCGTTGAGAGCTCAG